CCAGAAGGATGGACACCCTAAGATGATAAAAATCTCAGTCTGGGTGTCAGATATTGTGTTCACCTCCACAGAAGTTATAATTAGGGCACCTGTAATGCTTGCACCAGGTTAATGTAACCTGTAGTCCTGTGCAGGTAAAATTCCAGCTGCTGGCGTCTGGTCAGCAGACCACCTAGTCTTCAACAGTAGTATCGAGATTGGCTTGATCCATGATCACTACCGAGGATCACCTTATGGATCATGCTGATATTATTAATGCCCTCCGAGAAATGGGAAGGGTGGAGGATTTTGGGGACAGTGAATCCACATCACGTGTCAGAATGATAGACTTGGGGGTTGAGACTGGCATGGAAAATAAAATAGGACCCACACCAGGCACGTCAGAGGACTTGTTAATCATCATGGAACTGGTACTATTAGCTACCGGACACTGGGGTTCATACTGAGGGGAGGATCTGAGCACCTATGGACATGTTAGGAGTGCATTGATGATAACCCAACTAACTAACTAAGTGGTATCGAGAGTGGTTCAGAGCTTAATGCAAACTACAAAATTCAAAAATGTTTAAGAATAAAATCAAACTCAAGTATTACAATCAAACTCACATACATTTAAAAAAACGCAGCAGATCTGCATTAGTTTCATTTTTAATAGATAGCATTCATGATATTGCAAAATTGTGACCTTTCTTGGCATCTTAAAGAAGTTTGCCATTGCTTTCCTTCGGCCTGGTGACTAAAGCCATTGTTATTTATCACAGCCGAGATATAGTTTTTTTGAAAAGAAAGCAAAGAATATTGTGGAATTCTAGAAACACTGATCGACAAATTAGAATTCTTCTCATTTGCTGGCAGTAAACTCCTGGCAGAAAGTTCTGATTATTCACTCACTTGTGGATTGTGATCTTGTTCCAGAACTCGAGTTTTGCATGCAGATCCATTTTTACAGTTCTGGTTTATTTATATGCAGACTGTTGGTTCCCCGCTTCTCAGGCAGATGCATTCCAACATCAAAGGAAACGCTCTTTATTAGTCATCCTTTATGGCAGGCTTTTGGGGGGGGGGGGAGCAGTGGGTCTACCCCCTCCATCCACATATTGGGGTTCTGGAACTTTAATGGAAGGACAGTTTTTTTTTTTTTTATTGACATGAGAAAGACTGAACTAAAGAAATTGGTTACTGGCAAGAATAGTGACAGAAAAAAGAGCAACGTGAGAACAAAGATAAAAAACATGGATTGCTTGGTCCTATACATGGGGGCGAGACAAGAGCACTGATATGATCCGTGATTGTGTGAGAGGGCAAAACATGATAGCCAGTGCTTATTGTCAGAACACATGATGATGATTCATGTTTTGTTTTCAAATTGTCCCCCACCAACTTACAAAGAAAGCTGTTTTATTTCAGCTTAAACCTTCATCTCTAAAACATCTACATTTGCACTGGGCCAGTGTTATAGTACAGTGTAGACATACTACATTTGCACTGGGCCAGTGTTATAGTACAGTGTAGACATACTACATTTGCACTGGGCCAGTGTTATAGTACAATGTAGACATACTACATTTGCACTGGGCTAGTGTTATAGTAGAGTGTAGACATACTACATTTGCACTGGGCCTGTGTTATAGTACAGTGTAGACGTACTACATTTGCACTGGGCCAGTGTTATAGTACAGTGTAGACATACTACATTTGCACTGGGCCTGTGTTATAGTACAGTGTAGACATACTACATTTGCACTGGGCTAGTGTTATAGTAGAGTGTAGACATACTACATTTGCACTGGGCCAGTGTTATAGTACAGTGTAGACATACTACATTTGCACTGGGCTAGTGTTATAGTACAGTGTAGACATACTACATTTGCACTGGGCCTGTGTTATAGTACAGTGTAGACATACTACATTTGCACTGGGCTAGTGTTATAGTAGAGTGTAGACATACTACATTTGCACTGGGCCAGTGTTATAGTACAGTGTAGACATACTACATTTGCACTGGGCTAGTGTTATAGTAGAGTGTAGACATACTACATTTGCACTGGGCCAGTGTTATAGTACAGTGTAGACATACTACATTTGCACTGGGCTAGTGTTATAGTACAGTGTAGACATACTACATTTGCACTGGGCCAGTGTTATAGTACAATGTAGACATACTACATTTGCACTGGGCTAGTGTTATAGTAGAGTGTAGACATACTACATTTGCACTGGGCCTGTGTTATAGTACAGTGTAGACATACTACATTTGCACTGGGCCAGTGTTATAGTACAGTGTAGACATATTGTGTTTGTAATGTCATGTTTACATTTAATCCTAAAAACATTGCATGTAATACATTTCTAACCTTGTCTCCAAACGGAAAATCCCCAATACGCTGACATGGAGTTTCTTCATAATGTTAAAAAGGAATTAATTTCATTCAAACAGTCTTTTATTAAGAAATTTCACTAATGTAAAACTTTTTGAGAGAAATATTCCAGCGACCTCCGAGATGATGAAAATAGATCAGAATTGGATAAGACAACCACTGATAATACCTGATAAATGATACACGTTAGCTAGACAGTTTTCACTCTACCACTTTTGCGGCATCAAAATATGTCTGCACACATAAAACAACTGGGTAATGTGCTATCCATATCATTTTTGTGCTATCAATGTCAGATATGCACTATCTTAGAAAAACAAACGCAGAATTGCAGCCTGTGAGATGAGTTGTATAAGACATAGGGCAGGAAAAAGAAGAAAAGACAAGAGTTGTTAAAGAAAAACTAAAAACAGTCGTAGGCACAGTATTTGTTCACAGAACACAAAAGAATCAAATGGTTTGGTTATCTGGTCAGAATAGATCAAAATCAGCTTGCAGCTTATGTGTACTACATGAAAACAGCAAGCTACAAGGTGAGAGGCCAACTAAGAAAGAGATGGATGAAAGGAGTAAAAGAGACACTACAGAAACACAATATAACAATGACACAAAGCTACACAACTAACACAAGACAGGAAACTACGCCTGACTCCTCTCTACTACACTTTATGGCGTAAGCCCTAGGACAACGGAGGAAGAAGCAGGACCCAAAAAAATGCATGTAGGCCAACCAACAAACAAACAAAACGTGGGGAAGAGAAATGAAGACTGAGCCTAGTGTGATGCAATTTCTGTAGCTCTGCAATGATCCGCAGGAATGCATAAAAATTGCACTTGTGGACCAGAAGTTGCAGGAAAGAGGGGCAGGGGCCGACCAACATGAAGATGGGCACAGGATATAAGTGACAGCTGGGGTAGGAAAGTGCATGCTGAAGGAGAGCTGGTGAGAGACCGAGTTTCTTTCAGGCAGACTGTGATGAGAGCGACGTTCTGCGAAGGACCTGCTACATGATAATGATGAATGTGAGGAAGTCTGTGGCTCAGGGGTTAGGAATACAGTTTCATAATTCCAACTACCAGAGTTCAAAGTCAGCTGCTGACATGGCAATAGACCGCTTTGCATTGATTTTTACAATGGTGTGAGTGTTCTGCTGTTCAGAAAGCAACTGCAAACTACTAAATGTAAAATTACCAAGTAAAACCATAAATAGCCAACAAATGTTAGGACTGGTTTGTCACGTCCTGTAAAGATTTTTTTTTTTGAGAGAGAGAGAAAAAAAGGTGCCAGTATTTATTGTATAATGTCTCAAAATAGGGTGCCGGTAATCACCACAAAGGAGTAAATGGTAATGAAAAAGCTAACCAACTGGCAAAAAATGCACCATTGCAAACAGGATAAAGCACTGACAGAGCTGATATCACTGTACGGACTAGGTTAGGGAATAATGGCGAATCTCTGATGCTAACACAATTGCATGATCAAGGAGTTAAGCTTTGTGAAGCACGTCTATGCTGTCTTCGATGTAAAGATAGGAGATACTATTACCAGCTTCTCAAGGGAACAATCAGTAGAGGAAACCTGGAGTGGCTGCTGCATCACAGGATTGAGCACGTATGGGAATGCCAAGTGTGCAAAGACATTGATTATGATATCATAACAAAGTATATACTACAGCAGTGGTGAAAAATGCTGCTTAAAAAGGGTGCTGGTACTGGGTACTGCCAAAATTTAAAAAAGCTTTCCCCATAAAGGATATGCAGTTAATTTTTTGTCATGAGATAGAACGTGCACCAGGCCTTAGAAATACTGTGCTGAAGTATATGTGTGTATCAAATAAATGAAATGCTGTGCTGAAGATATGTGTGTATTCAATTAAAGAATTGCTGTGCTTAAGTATATGTGTATATCAAATGAATGAAATACTGTGCTGAAGTTTATGCATGTATCAAATGAAAGAACTGTAGTGTTGAAGTATGTGTGTGTATCAAGTGAAAGAATTGCTGTGCTGAAGTATATGTGTGTATCAAATGAAAGAATTGCTGTGCTGAAGTATATGTGTGTATCAAATGAAAGAAATGTTGGGCCAAAGTATATGTGTGTATCAAATGAAAGAAATGCTCTGCTGAAGTTTATGTGTGTATCAAATGAAAGATGAAAATATCTGTAATTTTCTTTAAAACATTCTTTTAAGATACACAGGAAAGAAGTAGCAGAAGAAGAAAAACTAAAAACTAAAACACTCAGTTAAACAATGATTTAAAAACTAGACATTTAAAACATTCTTTTAAGATACACAGGAAAGAAGTAGCAGAAGAAGAAGAACAAAAAACTAAAACACTCAGTTAAACAATGATTTAAAAACTAGACATTTAAAACATTCTTTTAAGATACACAGGAAAGAAGTAGCAGAAGAAGAAGAACAAAAAACTAAAACACTCAGTTAAACAATGATTTAAAAACTAGACATTTAAAACTCTGGGTAAGCTTTTCTAAAACAAATCGCTTACAACAATTAAATAATACATATCCAAAGTGGTGTGATGGTTTGTGAAGAAAGGCCAAACGGTAACAATGTTTTCAGTTGGGCAATTTTAAACAGGCGAAACATGTAAATGCCGACTTCAGCACCAGATTCGAACAGTACTGTCACTTCCTCCTGATATCAGGTACTCTCCACCACGGTGAAAGCACAAACATTGAACAGCGTCTTCATGACCAAGCAGTGAGTAAATCTGGGTGGATAAATGAAACATACATACAAAATATATATGTGTGTGCGTGAATGTGTGTTTGTGTGCATGTGTGTGGGTGTGTGTGTGTGTGTGTACGTGCTAAATATAAAAAAATGTAACTATAAAGCTCAATGCAGGGAATAGAAAAGACACAAACAAACACAACCAAACGTTTCGATCAGTCTTTATCAACGGAGCACTAAATACAGCACAAACTGTGACTGTGTTTTCATGAGAAGTTTGTAGATCTGCCATAAAGAATTTAGTTCATAGGATAACACGTGCATTATAGATGAAGACAATATTCTGAACTAAACGTAAGCAGATGAACTTTGACTTTGAAGGTCTATTGTCTATTGTCAGTCTACTGACAAGACATCGACCTGGTTGCTTCAAGATACTAAGCTAATTGATTTTGTTAATTTATGTGGTTTTGTTTGATTTATGTATGTGCTGAGGAAGGCTTCATAGCCGCAACATTTATGTTTTGTTTGTGCTTGTTACATTGTGAAGCTTGCTGATATACTTTTCGTTCAGTTTTATCTCTTTTTTTTCTTTGAAGGAAAGATCCTCAGTTTGTCAGTTTTTATGACATACTTGTTGTTGGCGCAGTAGGTCAATTTTTTTGTTTTCCACAAAGTCCACAAAGTTCTGGGGAGAACACGAACAGACCTGCTGCCTTTCTACACACACAAAAGCAAGTCATAAGAGTTAACTAACTGGGAGCCTCCTTTGATGTGGGAGTGCGTCTGCCCGAGCAGCAGGGAATAACTACCTGCACATAAATAAGCCAGTAAATACAGATGCACGTGCAAAACTCAGGTCCCAGCACAAAGCCAGAGTCCAAAAGGATGAACAACTAGGACTTTCCACCGCAGCTTACAGCCGATGAACAAAGAAGAAGAAGAAGTTCCCCACAAATGAGCCCCAGAATCCACAAGTGAAGAGAAAACACAAAACTTGGTATTAATATTTTCAACGAAACAAACAATAACAGTGATCCTACCTGGGCAGATTCGATGTCATACATTTTGATAGTGCTGTCACTACTAGCCACTGCCAGGACACTGCCGCTAGGATCAAACCTCATTTTGTTGGCCGGATGTGGACCCGTCTCAAAGCTGGCCATCGGAGCCACACTCCGAACATCCCAGAGTTTGACCACGCCGAAGGAATCGCATGATGCAATCATGTCACCCTACAAGGAATCAGGTTATCACTGTAGCATTTATGATTATTATAATATATATATATATATATAATAAACAAACAGACATTGTAATGATTGTCCCTCATAAAAAGAAGTAGAAAGATAGAAGGACACACTAGACAATATAAAAATTGAAAACTTTAGTTACTGTGCCGGGAACCAAACCTGTCACCACCAAATGGCATGTGTGCCTCGCTATGGAAACAAGCATACCAAGAACATGACCCACAAGGCACCCTTTGTTCTTCAAAAACATCAATCAATTCTCAAAGTGCCTAGAGGCACATAAGGCAGAGACAAACTGTCGCCACTCAATTCGATCCTCAGCAATCCTCTCTATCTCGTTTTGTCCTTCGCGTAGCCTTGAGTTCAGCCTCATAGGTTCACCTCCAAATGCCTCTGGGTCTGCCTCTGCCTCGCTGTCCTTGTGGTGTCCACTACATTGCCGGTCTAAGCCGTCTCTCTTTCTTCATTCTGATCCACATGCCATTTGGAGGTTACAGGTTCGATTCCCAACATGGTAACTATACCTTTCGATTTTTATGTTGTCTAATGTGTCCTATCTTTCTACTTCTTTCTATGAGTGACAATCAATACAATGTCTGTTTATTTATATTATATATATATATATATATATATATATATATATATATATATATATATATATATATATATATATATATATATATAATGTTTCTACAGCCCCAAGGGTTCCTCCTGTTTATTTATGTGTATCGCCGTGGCAGCGGAGTGCCTATGGGTGAGCCAATCATCTCTTTACAGTTTTAAGAATGAGTAAGGTGGAGTTATCTCTACACAAATGTATGAGTGAGATTTAGTTCTATCTAAACAATGTCACAAATAGGTGAGATCAAGTTCTCTGTAACTTCAAAATTGAGTGGATACAGTTATCTCTAAGCAATTTCATGAATGAGTGAGATAATGTTGTCTAAAGTAATTTCAAAAATGAATCAGATAAGTTCTCTCTAAAGAATTTTATTTTGAGTGATTAAGATAAGGTTATCTATAAGCAATTTCATGAATAACTGAGCTAAGATTATACCTAAGCAATTACATGAATGAGTGAGATACTGTTATCTTTAAGGAATTACATGAATGAGTGAGATCAAGTTATCTCTAAGCAATCTCAAGAGATTCCTCTTATCCAGATAAGAGTTCCAGCAAGAAGTATTGGCAGGGATAAACAAATTGTTCTTCTCAACAGAAATTCGCCACATCCGAGATTGCCTTGAGCGGTCTGCACTGTAGAAAGTTTGTTCAAACAAAAACAAAAAACAAAAAAGCAGGCACAACAATCAACAGCACGAACCTTCATGTTGAAAGTGGCATGGTTGACTGAGTACATATGACCAAAGAATGTCTGTGCACATATTGCCTGTGATGTTCAAACAGAAACAAGTTTAGAATATTACAATTTACTTCAGTTGCACATAAATAAACTAGCTTTCATTCAGCCTTTGAGTCCTAGAAGACATACATTATCACTTTGAAATCAAGAAAACATATATTAACTCTTTGTCAAAAAAGACATTCATTACTTCTTTGAGTCACAGAAGACATAAATTCTCTTTGTCTAAGAACAGATAAATTTGTTCTTTGTCCAAGAAGAGATATATTTGCTCTTTGTCCAAGAAGACATTCATTACCTCTTTGAGTTCTAGAAGATGTATATTCTCTTTGTCCAAGAAGACATTCATTATCTCTTTGAGTTCTAGAAGATGTATATTCACTTTGTCCAAGAAGACATATATTCTCTTTGTCCAAGAAGACATATATTCTCTTTGTCCAAGAAGACATTCATTACCTCTTTGAGTCCTAGAAGATGTATATTCTCTTTGTCCAAGAAGACATATATTCTCTTTGCCCAAGAAGACATTCATTACCTCTTTGAGTTCTAGAAGATGTATATTCTCTTCGTCCAAGAAGAGATATATTTGTTCTTTGTCCAAGAAGACATTCATTACCTCTTTGAGTCCTAGAAGATGTATATTCTCATTGTCCAAGAAGAGATATATTTGTTCTTTGACCAAGAAGACATTCATTACCTCTTTGAGTCCTAGAAGATGTATATTCTCATTGTCCAAGAAGAGATATATTTGTTCTTTGTCCAAGAAGACATTCATTACCTCTTTCCCCCGTGTGGGTTCCGGGGCCCCATTGTAGGGGAAAACAAGAATAGACCCACTGCCTCCCCAAAAGCATGTCGTAAGAGTCGACTAAGTGGGGAGCTTCCTTTGAAGTCGGAGTGCATCTGCCGGAGAGGCAAGGAACCAACAGTCTGTATTTGAGAGAATGAGATCTGTAAAACTGATGCACACGCAACACTCAGGTTCTGGAGCAGGACTGCAGTTCAGTAGTGGACGAACAACCAGAACTTTCCGCCAGAGTGTACAGCTGGTGAACGTGAAGAAGAAGAAGATTACCTCTTTGAGCTCTAGAAGATGTATATTCTCTTTGTCCAAGAAGAGATATATTTGTTCTTTGTCCAAGAAGAGATATATTTGTTCTTTGTCCAAGAAGAGATTCATTACCTCTTTGAGTCCTAGAAGACATATATTCTCATTGTCCAAGAAGAGATATGTTCACTCTTTGTCCAAGAAAAGATATATTCACTCCTTGTCCAAGAAGAGATATAATAACCCTTTGAGTCCTATACAACATATATACATACATCATTGAGTCCTATACAACATATATACATACATCATTGAGTCCTATACAACATATATACATACATCATTGAGTCCTATACAACATATATACATACATCATTGAGTCCTATACAACATATATACATACATCATTGAGTCCTATACAACATATATACATACATCATTGAGTCCTATACAACATATATACATACATCATTGAGTCCTATACAACATATATACATACATCATTGAGTCCTATACAACATATATACATACATCATTGAGTCCTATACAACATATATACATACATCATTGAGTCCTATACAACATATATACATACATCATTGAGTCCTATACAACATATATACATACATCATTGAGTCCTATACAACATATATACATACATCATTGAGTCCTATACAACATATATACATACATCATTGAGTCCTATACAACATATATACATCCATCATTGAGTCCTATACAACATATATACATACATCATTGAGTCCCTATACAACATATATACATACATCATTGAGTCCTATACAACATATATACATACATCATTGAGTCCTATACAACATATATACATACATCATTGAGTCCTATACAACATATATACATACATCATTGAGTCCTATACAACATATATACATACATCATTGAGTCCTATACAACATATATACATACATCATTGAGTCCTATACAACATATATACATACATCATTGAATCCTATACAACATATATACATACATCATTGAGTCCTATACAACATATATACATACATCATTGAGTCCTATACAACATATATACATCCATCATTGAGTCCTATACAACATATATACATCCATCATTGAGTCCTAGAAGTCTACACAGTATAAACCCAGGGGAAGAAATACTGACCTTATGAGCGCAACACTTATCATGGTCATCATCACCATTAAGTGCCTTGCCAGCTGGCATGGGTGATCATGTGTTTTGACATCGTATGACCACCAAAAGCATTATCATTTCAAGCGCTGACATCTTTCCTAGCTACGACACAAGGTTGTCATAAATCTTTGGTTGTTTACAAAGCCCTTTTTTTTTTTTTTTTTACTGAAAGCAAGAACTATTTGATCAAGAGAAACTTACCATTCTTGCATCCCACAGAGATACAGTTTTATCAGCGGAGCATGAGAGAAGAGTGTTGCTATAAGGTAAAAACTCTATAGAGTTCACAGAATCAACATGTCCTCTCAGAGTGTAACGGCAGCGAAGGCTGAAACGAGATTTATCAATTCTTTAACTCTTTTATTCTGTTATCAGAACACGAAGACACAGTGGTCTGTGTACAGGCTTTTAAAGACAGTTATTGTTCTCATTATTGTTGCCTTTCTCTAACATAACATAACATAACCCTTGACCCATTAGGGTGGTAGAGGCGTATTGATGGAAGCACTAGTACATAAAAGCCACCATCTTTCTCTTTCTTCCGCTTGATGAATAAGTGTATTATAACTTAGTCCTGGTTATTTCTTGATGTTGTCATTCCAGATTCTTCTTTGCCCTCCTCTTCTTTGACTACCCCCAATGTTCCTTGAAGTACAGTCTTTGCAATAAAATCCTGTCTCACCAAGTGCTCAAACTAAGCTAGCTTGTGATGTTTCACCACTGCCGAGAGAGGCTCCTGATGTCCTGCAAATTTGTCTATTTTGTCTCTGACATATTTATTAATTTTGTGTTCTAAATAAACTATTTCGAAAAATGCATACTCACTAAGTATGCCTTTCACTAAGGATCTGTAGATCTGTGTAGAAAGTGCATATCAGTTATGTTTGGTGATGTGCTAAAATGAATAGAATTTAAAAACTGTACCCAATTTCTCACTAGCTAATAATCTACCCCAAAAAAATTAATAAATTGTATCCTTTTATGGTAGTCTACAAATCAATTGAAAAATCAAATGGTCATCGCTTAGTGCAACAAAGCCCGGCATATGATATCACAACATCTAATCTGAGAATGGAGGTGGAAGCATTCACGGATGCCTTCCACTGGCTTAAGAATCAGCTGTACACACATGTCGTTATTGTAACTTACAGAGCATGCTGAGAAAGGTGGAGACAGGCATGCTCCGTGCAGAGTGACAAGCATCGCTTCAGAGGTCCCTGATAGTTTGCGTCCTTTGGATACTTTCTCCAGACTAAGTTGGTGTGTTTGGAAAGGAGCAGGCAGATAGACTGGCCGGTACTGCACCACTTGGTGGTGAACTGATGTATGACAAGCTAGATGTTGTCAGGGCCTTTTGGGAGGTTGTAAACAGTACGGAGGCACAAACAGATCATTAGGGTCTGAGGAGAATGGCACTGCAAGAAGTTACCAGGGCATCTGGCCAGCGCTCAACACTCAAGGAAAAGGCGAGACAGATATACAATCAGACGGTTACACTCAAGGAAAAAGCGAGACGAATATACAATCAGACGGTTACTGGCACCATCAGAACTGGAACTCTTCGCTTGCTGCTGAAGATGGAGATGGAGCATTTATGGGAGTGTCTTGAGTGCTATGATGTAAATTCCTAATTTAACATTCAATCTACTCATCAACTAAATCAACTTTATTCTATCCTCCTACCGGCTGTTATTTCAATAATCAGGTGAGTCCACTAGGCTTTTCATCTGCTAATTAATGGCAGACTTAAATCTATCTTCCCTCTGGTTGTTAATCAGCTAATCAAGTGATTAAACTGGTTTCCCTGTTCTCATTGGCTGCCTACCTGTTGATATCCCACACTTTGGCAGTATTGTCCATTGAACTTGTTGCCAGAAAATCTCCGCAAGAATGCCAGGAACAGGTCCAGACTTGGATGAATTAGAAAACGGAAAAGGTCAAAGGTGGTGATCACAATGAAAATAATCATATTATAATCAGCAGGTTTTTTTATAGTTAGATAAACAGGATCTGGTGTGTGTTTCTGTGCTTGTGTTTGTGTGTGTGTTTTAGCGCGTGAGTGTTGATGATGTGTGTGTGTGTGTGTTTGTGCGTGAGTGTTTGCGTATGTTTGAGTGTGTGTGTTTAAAGGTTAAATGTTATACATATATACATACAAATGAAGCTTTCCTATAAAAAACACATACACACACACACATGCATGCACGCACGCACGCCCAATATGTCTAATACTCTTTTAATTTTTAAACTTCACCCAAGAAGAGTGGGTGTTTGATAAACTATGGCAGACCCAGAAGAAAATATCACCACCCTGAGGAACAACATTTTTATAAAAGCACAAGTGGCAGTCACACCCAGTCTAGCTCTAACTAATGATGATGTGATTTCTCTAACTGATGATGATGTGATTTCTCTAACTGACAATGATGTGATTTCTCTAACTGATGATGATGTGATTTCTCTAACTGACAATGATGTGATTTCTCTATAACTGGCTATGATGTGATTTCTCTAACTGGCAATGATGTGATTTCTCTAACTGATGATGATGTGATTTCTCTAACTGGCAATGATGTGATTTCTCTAACTGATGATGATGGGATTTCTTTAATGGACAATGATGTGATTTCTCTTACTGATGATGATGTGATTTCTCTAACTAATGATGAGGTGATTTCTCTTACTGATGATGATGTGATTTCTCTAACTGACAATGATGTGATTTCTCTAACTGACAATGATGTGATTTCTCTAACTGGCAATGATGTGATTTCTCTAACTGGCAATGATGTGATTTCTCTAACTGGCAATGATGTGATTTCTCTAACTGACAATGATGTGATTTCTCTGACAATGATGTGATTTCTCTGATTGACAATGATGTGATTTCTCTAACTGATGATGATGATTTGATTTCTCTAACTGATGATGATGTAATTTCTCTAACTGACAATGATATGATTTCTCTGACAATGATGTGATTTCTCTAATTGACAATAATGTGATTTCTCTAACTGACAATGATGTGATTTCTCTAACTGACAATGATGTGATTTCTCTAACTGACAATGATGTGATTTCTCTAACTGACCATGATGTGATTTTAACTGATAATGATGTGATTTCTCTAACTGACAATGATGTGATTTCTCTAACTGACGATGATGTGATTTCTCTAACTGACAATGATGTGATTTCTCTAACTGACAATGATGTGATTTCTCTAACTGATAATGATGTGATTTCTCTAACTCATAACCACCCCCATACTCCCCCTTCCACCCTTTTTTTTCAACCTTGATTTTTCTTCTATTGTAGCCACACTGTTACTGATTGGTGGCCCAGTGTCGTGGTTTTCTGTATCTGTTTTTTGCTTGTCAAGTAACCTGAGTGAAGGCCTTGTTCACCTGTTTGCAAGTTTCAGCTACATCATCTCTCCATCTCCTCCTTGGTCTTCCTCTCGTCTTCTGCCTAGATATTCTTCTGTAGAAGGTGTGGTCTGGCTGCATTCTCTACTTACACAATAAGATAAGCATCTACACACAGTGTCTTCTTCTTAGTGCTCACCTGTTACAAACTATGGCAGGAAGTCCAGGGGAGCTTTATTAATATCGTACCCCAAACAGGGGAAATCCACAGGTCACGGTACAGTCTAATATTTCAGGGGGTGGTAGATAGGCCGCTTGCAGTCGTGGGACATAGGCTGCATGCAGTCATGGTACCTAGGCTGCACTGTCTAGTGGGACGTAGGTGGGTTAGGGTTAGAGCCAGTTCTAGATGTTTTGGGGTCATTAAAAGCACCAGAAAGCTGGGAAACCCAGTCTTACCACCCTCTAAAATGTTGGACTGTCCTGTGATGTCATCTGGGGTAGGATGTTAATAAAGAACCAACGTTGTTCTTCCACTTCTGGACTTTTGTCCTGTTCCAGAACTTGAGTTTTGCGTGCACATCTGTTTTACAGATCTGGCTTATTTGTATTCAAATTGTTGGTTTTTTACCTCTCAGGCAGATGAACTCGCACTTCAGAGGAAACACAAAATGCTTATTCGGGGGGGGGGGGGGGGGGGGGGGAGAGTGGGCAGTAGGTCAATTCCCACCTACCCCGCTGCCACAACCCACACGGGGTACTTCCCTATACAATGTAAGATATCATTAGGCACCTACCCACTATATTTTTTCTAAAACACCTACCTCAGTCAGAGGCGAAAGAGGTTAATCTATGTCACCACCCCCCTCCTTTTTTTTTTTTTTTTTATGTATCACCAGGTTCAATGTCCCATAACTACGTTTCATTGGGGTCACCAGTTGCTGCTGACTATCTGATCAGCTACCTCCACCTCTGTCAGTCAAATGCAATATTAGTTAGTTAGTTAGTTATTCCTCTTGTGCCAAAGATGGCGCATAGGGCAGAGGTCATAGCTTTCCACGTCTGTCGGTTCGTTGCCACTTGATGTAGGTCTTGAGTGCGACTGAGACCTATGGTTGAGCTCTCCCTTGTGATGGTTCTACGGAGAGTTTCTTTTGGTCTTCCCTGTTTTCTTTTACCCTCTGGTGACCATATGAAGGCTTGGGGGGGAAGTCTCTGTATGTCCATTCTGAGTACGTGACCGATGTAATTCCAGCGACGCATTCTAATAAAATCAGACACATATTTTTGTTTTGTTTCCTGCTTATAGATGTATTGACCTAAAGTCCGACCAGTGAACATTCAATAGCTTTCGGAGGATCTATTCTCGAAAGCGACTAGTTTCTTATCGATTGATACTGATGATTTCCAACTCTCACAACCATAAGTTAGCACTGGGATCACACAGGAATTGAAGACCTTAAGTTTCGTGTTGTTGCTGAGTGATCTTGACTTCCAAATGTTTGACAGTTTGTTAAAGGCACTTGATGCTAACGCAATTCGAGTCGTTATTTCTGATGTTGTATCTCCCGCAGAGGTTATCTTGCTCCCTAAGTATGTGAAGCTGGTGATTTTTTCAAGAACAATATCCTTTAGTTTGATGTCTTTCGACTCGTTGGTAAGATCGATGATTTTCGTTTTGGCTGCGTTGACCTGAAGGCCGATTTGGCTTGAAATATTCTGGAGGCGGTCCATTTTTTCCTGAGCTTCTAGAAATGCAATATGGGACTTCCTTATAACTTCCACTCAACCCCCCCCCCCCCACCCCCACCCCCCCCCCCCCCCCCCCCCCACCCACCCCCTTCCGTTACAACGTAAGATATCAAACAGCACTCACCAACAGCGCCATGGTCTATGAACGTGTGCACACAAGCAGCCTTGCTGAAGTCCCATATCTTCACGGTGGAGTCTCCACTGGTGGTGGCTAAAGTGGATCCACTGGTGGATTAGAACAAATCAGTTACATTTGGGGCTGAAGTAATTATTAAATCATTTGTAGGAATAGAGCAAATCAGTGACACTCAGGGCTGAAGTAATTATTAAATCATTTGTAGGAATAGAACAAATCAGTTACACTCAGGGCTGAAGTAATTATTAAATCATTTGTAGGAATAGAACAAATCAGTTACACTCAGGGCTGAAGTAATTATTAAATCATTTGTAGGAATAGAGCAAATCAGTTACACTCAGGGCTGAAGTAATTATTAAATCATTTGTAGGAATAGAGCAAATCAGTTACACTCAGGGCTGAAGTAATTATTAAATCATTTGTAGGAATAGAACAAATCAGTTACATTTGGGACTGGGGTAATTATTAGATCATTTGTAGGAACAAAACAAATCAGTTACACTCAGAGCTAAATAATTATTAAATCATATGTAAGAAACAACATAAGAGGAAGTCATTCTTCTGCACCTGGGGTGGAAACTGCAGTCAGAGACCCAGTCGGTGTGACCCTCGCCAGTCATGATAATCTCGCCACTTGGCACCGCCCACATTTTCCATGTCTGGTCATCGCTGCAGGTGGCCAGGATTTGTTTGTTGGGATGTAGAGCAATGCTGCAACAACAACAACAACAATTAAAAAATTATTTGTACTTGAGCTGTTTAACTACAAGTGTTCATTAACTCCTTGAGTCCCAAGGAACGTATCAAACAACATAGATTCCTACCTAGAGGCCCAATAAACACATGATGCGCCGATTTAACGTCTCTTTTGACTACCCCTTGGGCCTGTGATGCTAAACCCCCTGGGACTCAAAGAGTTAACTCTATTAGTCTTAAGATGTTCATTTTGTAACACTTTATATCTCAAAGAAGGGTCTCTGTGGCAAAGTGGTCAAGCCATTTGCTTCGTGCTCTGAAAGTCATGGGTTCGTTTCATAGGGAGACCATCAGGTTAACAAGTACAATTTTTACAAAGAACCCTGGGGATCATCAACGGAACTACGGAGGTCATGCTTTGTGAAACGCTCTTGGCAGGCAGTCAGCTGTTCTGAGGAGAGAGACTAAGCCATATTGGATAAAACTTGGTGCAATAAATTCGATCCTCTCACCTTTACCTTTATCTCAAAGATTCCCTGTTGTGGGGACAACAAGAACAGACCCACTACCTCTCCAACAGACATGTTGTAAGAGTCGACTAATTATGGGTTTCCATAGTCCAAGTGCATCTGCCTGAGAGGTAAAGAACAAACAGTCTGCATATAAATAAGCCAGATCTGTAAAACAGATGTGCATGTAACATTCAAGTTCTGGAACAAGACAAAAATCTAAAAGTGGATTCTTCTTGGATTTGTAAAAATAATGACCAAGACTTCAGGTTTCTTTTTCTTCCAGTTTTCTTCTAGTTTTCTTCTAGTTTTCTTCTAGTTTCTTTGAGTAGAGTTTTTGAGTATTATAAGGATGTGTTTTTGTTTCTCCTAAAAACAAAATTGGGGTAAAATGCATTTTTTTCAAAGTTAGGATCTTAGAGGTTGAAAGGGTTCGAGGCTTGCTGATATGAGATGAGTTGGCTGAAAAGTACTGATATCACAGCCTATCTGTAAACCACAACCCACCACACCAACTGAATTTCTAATAGTAAATGCAGATGAAGAAACACTTAGTGCCACCACCTGGAAAGAGAAGGCCAATCATAGAGATGAACGGAGGCGAGTGATATCTACAGCAGTGAACCTCAAGGGCTCGGAATGCTAAAGAAGAAAATATAGAAAAAGAAGATGATAAACAATTTTAACAAGTTCACCCACAAGTGCTGACATTATTAACTTTTTCTTTAACCGGAATAAATTTAATATTAAATTAAAAGACATCAGCTTTATCAAATAAATTTAAAATATCATAAATTAAAGAACAAAGTGCTTTTAAATGTAATTACCCTTTGAAGCCAACAAAAATACGATTATTCTAGCTAATGGAATGAATGAAAGACTGAAAAAACATAATGCACAGAATTTGATAGGGCTAAATGGGTTACTTGTGTTTTCAAAATAAAACTGGCCAGACACAGCACTTGAAAAAACATTTTCACAAAAAACAATGAGCAGAAAAATGTGGCTTTTTTTTTTTTTTAAACAACAAAATTGCACCACACAAATTTAAACCAAAAAAGTGACCTTAATATAGCTTACAGAAATATGCTGATTTATGAAAGAAATAAATGCCTGGATTAAACCAGAAATTATTTTTTCCTAAAAAAATTGTTGCTAAAAAATAGTCTTTTCCTTATAAACCAGAGTGGCCTGCCCGTTTTTCAGCCTTTTCTCATTCCAAATTTGCAGTACTTATTGCTACAAGGGGTACATCACCCTTAAATAAAACAATGTGTAAACTTTACCCATGTAACCCTATATTTATCCAACCCAACCAACAATTAAACTGTTAGAGAATACAAGTTTTGTCCTTTTAACATGATCACACACCCAACCACTGGAAAATTGTGAGGCGTGAATCGTCCATGACTTGGAAATAGCGAAATAAGCCTGTATTTTGAAAAGCAATTAGGATTATTTTTTTTTTCAATAGATTAGACTAAACAGGCATGGTTTTATTACAGATTTAAAATTTCCAATGTGAAACTCTACAATAACTTATGGATAAATAGAATACAGTATAAATCATTATGGAAACAATATTGTAGATCTGCATCGATATTAAAAGAATAACAAGTAGAAGAAGAAGAGGAAGAAGAAGAAGAAGAACAAGAACAAGAAAAAAAACAAGGAGGAGAAGAAGAAAAAGAAAAAGAAGAAGAACAAGAAGGAGGAGCAGAAGAAGAAGTAGAAGAAGAAACAAAGGTATCTATCATTGTCTATGTCCTAAGTCAACAACCTGCTAGTAGAAATGTGAAGAAGTAATTCTACAAAGTGACTCAGTGTGTCCCCATGTTTTTGTATATAATAATCATTTAAACAAAACTATTTTATCTTCGAGCATAAATATGTTTAAATTTAGTTTTTGAATGAGATCATGTACAATACTTCAAAATTGCTCAGTATCACTGAAAATTGTTGGTACGCATAGGCTACCAACTGCTCCTAATGCCTGATCTAAAACAAAATGAAAATCTCCTATGATCTGATAAAAACAGTAAGTTAATAATCATCTGAGCATGCCCTGGCTCGACTGTCGATTATCTGATGAACTGCGACGCCCAGGCAGCTATTGATAAAAGAAGAAGAAATAATCATCTGGACAGTTTATCACTTTGCAATTACGATGACTGTGTTGTCAATTAATCGATGAAATTATTGCTGTTACTTATTTTGCTGACAACCTCCTGCTTGTTGCTTTGAAATTTTCCTTCCAGATTTTAAAAGAGTGCTATGTCTTTTAACTAGGCCAGACTGTTTTATTTATTTGTTTTATTTCTTAAATTCATTCTCTTTTTATTCCCGTTCTCTCTACAATCTCTGCATAAATTTTATATTTTCATAAAAATGAAGAATGATACTGATACTCATGAAAACTGAAGGCACGGGAAAATGAAAATCCCCCCCAAAAAAATGGAGACAAACATATCTAGGAGAAATATTAGGTTAGTTGTGTATCCTTTACAGGACATTGCAGAACCAACCCCAGCAGTCCCAGGCTGTTGTGTGGTTTCTCTAGGCAAATTTACGTCCAGTAGTGTGCCATTGCTTTCTGGACGAAAGGCCCCCTGATACCACTGTCGAAACCAACGCAAGGTGCATGGCCCGCAGCTGGGATCAAACCCGGCATCCTGGCATTATGAAGCGTTCGCATCGACTTAGTCACAGAGCCGACAGGAGAAATATAACAAATGCAAAAATTACAGTAAATGTGATATCTTCAACACTTTAGAAACTGATATGAAAACGACAAGAAAATTATAACACATATGAAAAGTATACAGGAAAAGGAAAAAAGTAAACATGAAAAAAGAAATGAAGACTGATAGTGAAACATAGTATTTTACAGAAAAGAAAATGTTTTTTTAAAGGCATTTGACACAAAGGAAACTGGTAAAACATGGTATTCCACACAAGGGAAACTGGTAAAACATGATATTTCACACAAAGGAAACTGGTGAAACATGGTATTTCACACAAAGGAAACTGGTGAAACATTGTATTTCACACAAAGGAAACTGGTGAAACATGGTATTTCACACAAAGGAAACTGGTGAAACATTGTATTTCACACAAAGGAAACTGGTGAAACATGGTATTTCACACAAAGGAAACTGGTGAAACATTGTATTTCACACAAAGGAAACTGGTGAAACATGGTTTTTCACACAAAGGAAACTGGTGAAACAAGGCATTTTTTTACACAAAGGAAAATAATGAAACCTAGTATTTTACACAAAGAAAAATGGTAAAACATGGCATGTGATACAAGGAAAAATGGTGAAACAGGTCATTTTACACAAAGGAGAATGTGAAAAAAAAATGCATTTTACACAAAGGAAAATGGTGAAGCATGGCATTTTACACAAAGACATTTTTTTAACTGATGGTTGAACAACATCATTCACACAGAGAAATGATGGCAGAGGGTGAAAAATGAAGATTCATGGTGAAACAAGGCAATATGGCACATATGAAAATGACATTGGTAGCAAAACAAAGTAATACATATTTCTTCTTGCCAACTGACATACAGACAACTGACATATACAGACAGCTGACATACATTGACAACTGACATATATATATAGACAACTGACATATACAGACAACTGACATATACAGACAACTGACATATATAGACAACTGACATATATAGACAATTGACATATACAGACAACTGACATACAGACAACTGACATATACAGACAACTGACATATACAGACAACTGACATATATAGACAACTGACATTTACAGACAACTGACATATACAGACAACTGACACACAGACAACTGACATATATAGACAACTGACATACAGACAACTGACATATATATACAACTGACATATACAGACAACTGACATATACAGACAACTGACATACATACAACTGACATATATAGACAACTGACACACAGACAACTGACATATATAGACAACTGACATACAGACAACTGACATATGTAGACAACTGACACATATAGACAACTGACATACAGACAACTGACATATACAGACAACTGACATATATAGACAACTGACATATACAGACAACTGACATATATAGACAACTGACACACAGACAACTGACATATATAGACAACTGACATATATAGACAACTGACATATACAGACAACTGACATATATAGACAACTGACATATATAGACAACTGACATATATAGACAACTGACCAACAGACAACTGACATATATAGACAACTGACATATATAGACAACTGACATATATAGACAACTGACATATATAGACAACTGACATATACAGACAACTGACATACAGACAACTGACATATATAGACAACTGACATACAGACAACTGACATATATAGACAACTGACATATACAGACAACTGACATATATAGACAACTGACATATATAGACAACTGACATACAGACAACTGACATACAGACAACTGACATATATAGACAACTGACATATATAGACAACTGACATATATAGACAACTGACATATACAGACAACTGACATATATAGACAACTGACATATATAGACAACTGACATATATAGACAACTGACATACAGACAACTGACATACAGACAACTGACATATACAGACAACTGACATATATAGACAACTGACATATATAGACAACTGACATATATAGACAACTGACATACAGACAACTGACATATATAGACAACTGACATACAGACAACTGACATATATAGACAACTGACATATACAGACAACTGACATATATAGACAACTGACATATATAGACAACTGACATATATAGACAACTGACATACAGACAACTGACATACAGACAACTGACATATATAGACAACTGACATATATAGACAACTGACATATATAGACAACTGACATATATAGACAACTGACATATATAGACAACTGACATATATAGACAACTGACATATATAGACAACTGACATATACAGACAACTGACATATATAGACAACTGACATATATAGACAACTGACATACAGACAACTGACATATATAGACAACTGACATATACAGACAACTGACATATATAGACAACTGACATATATAAACAACTGACATATATAGACAACTGACATACAGACAACTGACATATATAGACAACTGACATACAGACAACTGACATATATAGACAACTGACATATACAGACAACTGACATATATAGACAACTGACATATATAGACAACTGACATATATAGACAACTGACATACAGACAACTGACATACAGACAACTGACATATATAGACAACTGACATATATAGACAACTGACATATACAGACAACTGACATATATAGACAACTGACATATATAGACAACTGACATATATAGACAACTGACATATAGACAACTGACATACAGACAACTGACATACAGACAACGCATGAACTTACCCACTGATTGCATGAGAGTGAGCAGTGATAGTGTTGGCCAAATGAAAGCCTCCAGTCCTGTTGGCCGAGCATTTGTCTGGATTGAGATCAGGGTTAATGCCATTGTCAATGGGGAAATCTGAATCCTGGAACAGGATAACAGAAAAGTACAAATAAAACTGTAACCTTTTTCTTCATTTTCACTGGCTGAAAACATTGTTAGAAAGTCCTGGTTCAGTGGTTCTCAACCTGTGGGTTGTGACCCCTTTGGGGGTCAAACAACCCTTTCATGCGGGTCACCTAAGAACATCGGAAAACACATATTTACTGTCTCTTGATTTCACTTCAGATCTTTTTATGTGTAGCGCCTGCATTGATAGTTGTTCTGGCTGCATTCTTACTAAATGACCAAACCATTTGATCTTCTGTTTCTCAATGAATTTGCTGCATGATCGTGTACCTACAGTCTGTCTGATAATATCATTTCCAACTTTGTCTCGGTAACCCACAAATAAAACATTAAATATATCTTATCTTTACTGCTCACGTTCACCCCATTTAGGTTGGTGTAAACTACCATGATATAAAGACGTGCGCAAGTGGGACATGAATGATACAGGTATTGAAGTAGACTCGTGGGAACAAAATGCCATGGACCGTGTTGTGTGGAGGGGGCATGTTGCAAAACACACTTCAAGTAGACAAGATACCCTGACTAACTTACCGCCTTTTTTTTACCCTTTTATTGACTACGTCAAGAGTGCAGTTTTGGAAGGCAATTTTGATTCTGTCTTTCAAGCTGCCTAAAAACCCTAGCAGTATGACTGTATAGTTACATCCAGGTGAGCACAGTAATTATTATATTCATCTTTCCCTTCCTGATTTACGCCCTTCATACAGCACAGTCCAAAGCATTTTATTCTTATGAGTCCACTTCAATACCTGTATCATTCATGTCCCACTTGCAAACATCTTTATATCATAGTAGAGGTCAGCCTCGACATCGTCTACCCATCTTTAATTTACCATACAGGATGTCCTTAGGGTGTCATCCTCCATTCTCCAGGTGTGACCCAGCCACCTGAGCTTTTGTAAACTGAGCATTGAGAAGGCGTATTGTCATACCTGCTCTTTTTAATACCTTAGTTTTTATGATTTTGTCGTTTCTTTTGGTGCAAATAAGTTGACCACGTTTTACCGCTATAAAGCAGAGTGCTGAAAACACAAGCCTGATTTAATTTGGAGCTTTCTGTTCTCCCAGACTCTCTTTGTCAATCTACTCATTTTTGTTGCTGCCTTACCTATCCTAATGTTTTTTGTTTTAATCGTGGCATCACCACTTGGACTATCAATATTACTCTTTTCACACACAAATCTGGCAAACAGCAGATCTGAAACTCACATTGACAAATCTCTTGAAGCCAGGTAGAATTTGCATTTCCATATTGTCAGCTTCTGGCACCTGTTTTTGTCTCTCCTGCAGCAGTTGTTTGTGAGTTGGTCCTTTGGCTTTCTCCTCTACCATGCGTTTTGGTTCTGATTTTTAAAGGAAAACAAAATAAATGACTGAATTAAGAATATCAATATTTATTTATTTGTTGTTGTTGTTTTTTTTCTTCTCTTCTTCTTTTTCTTCTTCTTCATCTTCTTCTTCTTCTTCATCTTTTCTTCATCATCATCATCTTCTTCTTCCTTATTTCATCATCACCATCATTATCATCATCATCTTCTTCTTCTTATTTTTTCTCCTCCTCCTTCTGCCTCTTCTTCTTCTTCTGCTTTTGCATGCTGTGAACTCTGGTATAAAGTTCTTATCCTTTATCTACTTTTGAAGTTAGTAGGAAACAGTGATCCTGTCTACAATGGCTGAGCTCCCAGTGGGGAACCTATTTCTAAGACCACCATGGAGAGGAGTAGATAGGTCTTGAACTAGTCTGAGCCCTAGTCCTAGCAAACCACCCTCGCATGAGCTGATGCTCCTCTGCATCCTATTCTTCTACTTTCAAACCCCTACACCACACCCCCACACCCCCTCCCCCCAAAAAGCCAGCACCTCCAGCCAACTTAAGCCAAGCCTCAAAAGAGAAAGCCAAGCAGCAATAAGTAAACAAAGAATAACTTCAAAAGATCGCGAACATCAGTTGTGCAAATAATGTCAAAAGATCACAAACAACAGTTGTAAGAATAATATCAAAAGATCATGAACAATAGTTGTGAGAGTAACATAAAAAAAATCATAACAACAGTTGCAAGAATAACATCAAAAGATCATGAACAATAGTTTTTAGAATAAAATCAAAAGATCATGAACGACAGTTGTGATAATAAAATTAAAATATCATGAACAACAGTCTCACAGAGTTTGACTTATGAGTTAGGTTAACTTCATGGCATTCCAGACATGTCCACAGGTGCTCAGATTTCCCTTCCAACATGTACATCAATTTTCCGTGGTTAATAGTGTCAGTGTTTGGGTCCTCACAGTTTTAGGTTAGTTGCGTATCCTTTACAGGATGTTGAAGAACCAACTCCAACAGCCCCTGATTGTTGTGTGGTTTTTCTAAGCAAATTTATGTCCAGTAGTTTGCCATTGCTCTGGACGGTCGGCTTTCTTGATACCACTATCGAAACCAACGCAAGGCACATGGCCCGCAGCTGGGAATGAACCCGGCATTACGAAGCATTCGCATCGACTTAGCCACAGAGCCGACGTCATCATCATCACAGTACCACACCTTTTTTCAAATGACCCTAGCTCCCAGGTCAGCCCAGCTTCGAATGGGTACCAGGTGGAGTCCTGGGAAGTAAAGGTGGCCGGCATGATGCAGATTGTTCTGTAAAATTTTGGTCTAGCCCTGTATGCTAAATACGCTACAAGGTGTGGAGAAGGGAGCTTAACTTTTTGTTTTGTTTTTTTAAAGTGGCAGTCCTATGCTGGTATGTAATAAACTTTTACTACAAGACACTAAAGAAACGCCAATAGGGGACTGGACATTTATGCACAAACTCGGCAGCACAGACCAAAAACCCTGTTCCATTTCATATCTCAAATTAAACAGACATATCTGGAAAATTGGCACTCATCATCCTAACGGGCAAAAAAAGTGTCCCGCCATTTTGTTTATTTACAGCGATACAGCCAGTGTGAGTCAAAGAGTGTTGTAGATTTATTATAGGCAACCTTCATCGCGGAGATGGTGCTTTATCAAAGGTGAAGGTCAGAATGAAAAGACAGCATCATCATATAGCAAATTCTTTACGGAATATTGTTCACATCAGGGTGTTTGGCCCCCTTGCTAATTCTCCTGTCTCTTTGTTTTGTTTTTGGGCTGCCGTAATGGGTTCCTTTGGGAAAATAGTGTAGTGTAAGTGTCTGCTCAGAGTTCGACCTGTTAGTCCCAATGAAACTTGATCATAATTCAAATTTTTAATTGTCGCCACTACTTTCATTCAAATAGATTATAAAAATTGTACATAAAACACAAAAATCCACTCTACACAGGTATAATTATCGTACATAATATGAACAGTACATAATATGAACAGTACATAATATGAACAGTACATAATATGAACAGTACATAATATGAACAGTACATAATATGAACAGTACATAATATGAACAGTACATAATATGAACAGTACATAATATGAACAGTACATAATATGAACAGTACATAATATGAACAGTACATAATATGAACAGTACATAATATGAACAGTACATAATATGAACAGTACATAATATGAACAGTACATAATATGTACTCAGTTGCATCAGTTCTAGGAACTTTTTGATCCTACCATGTGGTTATCTTTCTTTTTTTTTTACTGTTTTTTTAATTTAATTTTTGTGTGTGTGTTCCTGAGTGTGGATGGTAATAATTTGCATAGGTCGCAAGTTGAGAAGAAGGTGCAGTAGTTGCTATACACACTCATATGATTTTAGACTATGTCCTCAGCCTTTATCAGCCTATCAGCCAAAAAACTTTTTCAAAAAAAACAAATTGCATAACTGTCCTATATTCTACCAGATAATGTGCTGTAGTTAAGAATAACAAAATGTTTGGTTTTCAAGAGTAATAACTCCAGGGTAGAAAAAGCTACATTAACAATAGGGTAATGACTGACTGAATGATGAACAACAGATTTATCTTCTCCTGACTGATTAACTGTCTGTCTGATTGATTAATTAACTTACTGACTGACTCACTTATTAACTAACTGACTTTATTATTAACTGACTGACTGAATAATAAAAAGAGTGACTGACTAACTGATCAACTGACTGATAGTTCAACTAGTTGATTTGTTCACTTATTAAATGATTAACTGACTACTGACTAACTGATTCATTAATTCACAGACTGACTGATCAAATAACTGAGCTGTTCATGTATTAACTGACTGATTGGTCAACTGACTTATTGTTACACAGAATAAAAAACAAATTATTTTGATGACAATTACGACTGTATTCACCTTGAAAGGGCAGCTGGCATGTTGCATTAGCTGCGATATCTGCGCCTTTCGATGCAACACATCTGATTTTAACAAACCACTAACTGTCACCTTTTATGACGTGTTTATTATGGGGAAGTGGAGCTATTCCCCCACCCCCCTCCCAACACACACATTCACAAAAAGAGACTAAAAACCGCAAGGAGGGGGGGGGGGGGGATATAAATACCATCTTTTGAAATCTCCAAGTGTTTCACAGAATCCTGCAGCTCATGAAGTTGATTTAGTGCCCTGTCTCTCTCTAGGCTGGCCAACATCTTCTCCTTGATGGCTGCCTCATAACGAACCTTCAGGGCTTCCATGTTTGGTGCATACTGAGCGTAATGCTTCTTCAGTCTGGGTGGAGGACGGAGTAGACATTATGGCTTTTGTGATAATTATTTTGGTCATATATTGGCATCTTATAATTTGTCATCTCATGTCTTGTCATCTCATGTCCTGTTCTGTCATCTTATCACCTGTCATTTCATGACCTGTCCTGACATATTCTGTCTTGCCCTGTCATGTCCTGTCCTGTCATCTCATGTCCTGTCCTATCATGTCCTGTTCTGTCATCCCATTCCTGCCTTGTCATATCATGCCCTGTCCTGTCATCGCATGCCCTGCTTTGTCACCTAATGTCCTGTCCTGTCATCTCATGTCCTGTCCTATCATGTCCTGTCCTGTCATCTCATGTCCTGTCATATCATGTCATGTCATCTTCTGTCATCTCATGCCCTGCCTTGTCATCTCATGTCCTGTTCTGACATTTCATGTCCTGTTCTGTTACCTCATGTCCTGTTATGACAAGTCCTGTCATGTCCTGTCCTGTCATGTCATGTCAACTTTAGTCAGGTTCTGTCATCTCATCTCATGTCATGTCATCTCATGTCATGTGATCTTATGACCCATCATCTCATGCCCTGCCTTGTTATCTCACGTCCTATCCTGTCATCTCATGTCCTGTCCTGTCATGCCTTGTCATCTCATGTCCTGTCCTGTCATCTCATGTCCTGTCATCTGATGTCATGTCATCTCATGTCATGTCATCTTATGACCCATCATCTCATGCCCTGCCTTGTCATCTCATGTCCTATCCTGTCATCTCATGTCCTATCCTGTCATCTCATGTCCTGACCTGTCATGTCAAGTTCTGTCCTGTCATCAGACGACCCTGTCCTGTCATATCATGTCCTGTCATGTCCTGTCCTGTCATCTTATGTCCTGTCATCTCATGTCCTATCATGTCATGTCCTGTCCTGCCATCTCCTGCCATGTCCTATCATCTCATGTCTTGTCCCATCATGACATGTCCTGACATCTCATGTCCTGTCCTGCCATGTCATGTCCTGTCATCTCATGTCCTGTTCTAGCATGTCATTTCCTGTCATCTCATGTCCTGTCATGCCTTGTCATCTCATGTCCTGTCCTGTCATCTCATGTCCTGTCCTGTCATCTCATGTCCTGTCCTGTCATGTCATCTCATTGCATGTCCTGTCCTGCCATGCCCTATGCTGTCATCACATGTCCTATCCTGTCATCTCAAGTCTTGTTCTGTCATCTCATCTCCTGTCATCTAATATGCTGTCATCTCATGTTCTGTCCTATCCTGTCATTTTATGTCCTGTCCTGTCCTATTTTGTACTGTCCTTTCCTGTTAGTTAGTTTAGATTAGTTAAGTCTGGTTGGTTATTTAACCCTACCAGACCGCTGGCCCGGTTTCCCGAGAATTTCATAACTGTTCTCCAAACCGCTGGCCCTACTTTTCGGCTATATGCATATTGCGTGAGAAAGATGCGTAACTGACTAAAAATAACCAACCAATCGTCAGCAGTCTGCTTTGTTAGACATTGCAAATGGCTTCCCCGTGTGTGTGAATCAATTTTGTGTGTTTTAACGTGAAAAATTTCGGAAAATTAAGAATGAAGCGAGCGGCTGATGAACCAAGTTCTAGGCTTTTCACAGTCCAACAGGTGATCGATACTTTGGTTTATTCAGACTCTGTGTTCAATATATATATATATATATATATATATATATATATATATATATATATATATATATTCATTATCTGTGATAATTTCATAAAGAATACGTTCTTGAAGTGACACTGTCAGTGAGAGCACGAATGATGAGGAACATCTTGAAAATTATCAATCTGGAAATAGATCGATAATAGGAGGAGGGGGTGTGTCCATCAAACGGCAACATCTGGTGTTCACTTTGTGAAACAAAGTTGATCCTGATGAGTGAATTCGCACACAAAGGTGGAATATTGGTGCTAGATAAAAGGTAAGCCTATTTTCTACAATGTCTCTAAGTTTCATCATATTCTAGCCACTCGTTTGCATGTAACTAATATTTTTGTATATCATGTTGGTTTTTCCGCGGTAATGCCCAGGAGCTCAGGTTATAGGGACAGTTAGGTTCAGGGCCTTAGGTCTGGTAGGGTTAATTAGGTAGACAGGTAGGTTAGTTAGTTCATTAGTTAGTCGCCAGATTATTCTCGCTGCATGTTGAACCAAACAATCTATAAGTGCTTGGATCCCCTCCTCAATAACCCCGTATCGGCTGAGGACACAAGTCCTGATTTGTTTTCTCATTCTTCTTTGGTTTCCTGCATAGTATTCTTGTCTGGCCACACCCCTCTTAACATGCTGTTCTTACTGTCTAGTTATGGGTATAGATTCACAGTCATCACTTGGTTCTTGAAAACGTCTTCTTTACAGCATTCAGTACATATCAGCCTGGTCCAATGATCATCCGCCCTCCACAGTAGCTTTTACCTGCAAGCCTGCTCATTTTCTTGCACTCCTGCATACCTGTCATGTGCTATGTGGTAGACTGTGACTGAAATGTTAAGAGATGACCAAGCCATTTCATCTTCTACTTATCCTTTAACCTGATGCAAAGCACTCTTTCCAGTTATTAGAGTCAACAAAGAACAGGAGGAAGATGCACACATAAGCACTCAACCTCTTGATATCATCAATGAGTTTGTTTTTCTCCTGGACCACACGGTTGTGGTGCATACGATGGAAGTCTCGCTGTTTTCTCAGCTTCGCATAAATGTCTTTGGCTTCCCTGAAAGGAAATAAAGAGAACAAACAAATAATGTAAAGTAAAACATTTTAAATTAAAGCAAACCAAAGTGTTTCTCTTTACTTCCTCTTTTACCGCTTTGAGAGTCGAAGAAGATACATGTATAAGGTTCTGCTTCTTCTTAATCTAAATTAATTTCAAGTAAAATACCCTAATTTTAAGATAAATTAAGAGAAAAGAAAAGATAATAAAGCAAATAACAGTAAACTTAAATTGGGCAAAGTAAAATCTTGCAACCCAATGTAAAGTGAGTGATATAATTTAAAGTCAGTAACAGTAAAGTAGTGTAGTGTAAAATAAAGACAGTCAAACAATGTAAAGTGAATTTAAGCAATATAGTCGGCACTAAAGCAACCTGAAGTAAAGCAATGTTGAAGTAAAGCAATGTTGAAGTAAAGCAACCTGAAGTAAAGCAATGTTGAAGTAAACCAATCCAATGTAAACTGAAATAATATGATGTTAAGTAATGCGAATTAAAGTGTATAATATAAAATAATGCGAAGTAAAGTGAAGCAATTTTATGTAAAATGAAGTAATGCAACATAAAATAATGCATCATAAAATAATGTGAAATAAAATAAAACATGTACAGAAAAGTTGTATTAAAGCACAGTAATGTTAATTTTGTCCTTAAGAAAGAGAATAGGGGCTTTTGAGCTGAAATGCTATAGAAAGATTCTCAGAATATCTTGGATAAAGAAGAAGATAAATACTGACATCTTGAAAGATCTGAACATCAAGGAAGATTCGCTAATAAACAGCATCCTGTCTCGGAAGCTGAAATATTTTGGTCATATCAAGCGTCATGACGGATTGGAAAAAATTATAGCAGAAGGCAGGGTACCAAGAAGGAGGGGCAGGGGCTGACCTACACAAAGATGGGCACAAGATGCAGGTGACTCCTTGAGTATGAAAGTACATGAGGCGGGAGAACTGGCGAGAGACCGAGTTTCTTTCAGGCAGACAGTGATGAGAGCGAAGTTCTGCAAAGGACCTGCTACATGATGATGATGAATGTTAATTTCAGCGAAGTAAAAGAAAAACAACAACAGAGTCACTAATGAAGAACTAAGAACAATGGTTGGCACAGTATCGATAAATGATTTGCTAGAACATAAAATAATTTAATGGTTTGGTCACCAAGCATGGATGGAACAAAATCAGCCAGCAACTATAACATACAACATGAGAGTATAGGCTACAAGGCAAGAGGCCAACCAAGCAAGAGATGGATTGAGAGAGTAAAAGAGACACTAATACATAAACGCAATGTGACATTAACAGAAACTATGCAACTAGCAAAAGACAGGAAACTACATTTAAATTCTTTCTGCAATGCTTTGCAACACAAGCAGTAGGAGAGAAAGAAAAAAGAACAGATTATTTTCTTCACACTGGATATATGGTGCTAACCTTGGTGTATGATGTAGTCAATATCAAGCGAGTCAACTTTACTTCCCTGAAAATTTCCTGGCAACTATTTTATGTGTGTCAGCTGGCCAGCACAGTGCAGCAGATCCCAGGTAATTATTTTTTCTGAATAATTAAGGGTGTTTCCTTGGAAGTTGGAGTGCATCCCTCTAACAGATTAGGAACCAACAGTCTGCATACAAATAAGCCAGATATGTAAAATGGATGTGCCTGCAAAACTCAAGCTCTGAAACAAGACTAATGTCCAGAAATAGACGAACACTCCAAATTTTTACCAGAATTTACAGCTAGTTAACACTACAAAGAAGAAGAAAAAGAAGAAAAAATAAAGGAAGAAGAAGATTAAACCATAAAGAATATTATCATTTACAAGAAAAAATTGTGTTGGTTTATGTATGTGTGTGCAGGAACGTGCATATGTGTTTGTCTGTGTGTGTGTGTATGTGTGTCCGTATCTCTGCACGCCAGTGCCCATCTGTATGTCACAGAATTGTCATGTTATGTGCACAAATGACACAAGAGAAGACAACTCACGCTGCAGCATTTCTAAACTTCATGGCCTCGTTCTTCAGGAACACAATTTCATTCTCAAGTTCAAGGTTCTGGGTGTAGACATCTGGGACTGTTCCGATCATGTCCTGCCTCAAAAATCCTCGCTCCTGCAGCTCATACCTGCACCAGCAAACAAATCAAATGTAATCTTCACTCTTTCAGACCCAGACAGGTCGTAATGTCTAAAACATTTGCTACTTAAAAGGACATTTCTGAACAGGTACGGTTCATAACACTATAGAAGGAAAGCATTATCATGTACAGTGTAACCAGGAAATACTTGGCACTGAAAGAGGACATCTCAGTCTGGTTTTCATCATCTTCTGATCAGGTAACACATCTTTGGCAGAATGTTACTTTCTTTGTGGCCAACCAGAAATACCCTTTATGCCTCCCAGAAATACACTGTCTACCTCCCAGAAAGACACTGTCTATCTCCCAGAAATACCCTTTATACTTCCCAGAAATACACTGTCTGTTTCCCAGAAATAACCTTTATACCTTACAGAAATACACTGTCTGTCTCCCAGAAATACCTTTTCTACCTCCCAGAAATACATTGCATATCTCCCAGAAATACCCTATATAATTCCCAAAAATACACTGTCTGTCTCCCAGAAATACCCTTTATTCCTCACAGAAATACACTGTCTATCTCCCAAAAATACCTTTTCTACCTCCCAGAAATACCTTTTCTATCTCCCAGAAATAGCCTTTCTACCTCTGAAAACATAATATATATCTCACAGAATTATAATATCTACCTCCCAAAAATACCATATCTACCTCCCAGAAATACCCTATCTACCTCCCAAAAATACTCTATCTACCTCGCAGAAATACCCTATCTACCTCCCAGAAATACCCTATCTACCTCCCAGAAATACCCTATCTACCTCGCAGAAATACCCTATTTACCTCCCAGAAATACCCTATATATTCCTAGCAGAAATACCCTATCTACCTCCCAGAAATACCCTATCTACCTCCCAGAAATACCCTATCTACCTCCCAGAAATTATCTACCTCCCAGAAATACCCTATCTACCTCCCAGAAATACCCTATCTACCTCCCAGAAATTATCTACCTCCCAGAAATACCCTATATGGAGCATTAATTAGGGGTGAGAGTGAGAAACCAACAGTATGCATACAAAAAAGCCAGATCTGTAAAATGGATGTGCACTCAAGCCTAAAGTTCTGCACCAAGACCAGTCTACAAATGGATGAACAACAAGAACCTTCTGCCAGAGTTGGTTCTAGTAACTAACTTGTAAATTAACATACCCTACAATGCAGAAAATCACAGTGACACCCCTCTCATGTTGAGCAGCCTGAGCAAGCATCAATGAAAGGTCAGCTAGTGTGTAGCTGGACCCGAGTTCATTACCGCAACCCCAGAGTTTACAGCTGATCAAAGCTAAGAAGAAGAGCTACAAATTATAAGATGTGTACATTACACTACAATAGAACTGACAGAGAATCCATACACTGAAAGACTAATTCAACAGTGGGTGAGTACAGATTCTCAAAGATATTCAACACTGAGGGGGAAACAAAGGCGGACTTTTAAACATGTTGCAACTGGTACAATTAGCAGGCTGACTGTTGTTTAGCTACTGAAGAAGGGGACGGAGCACATGTGAGAATGTTTCTAGTGCAGTGATGTCAATTCTTGATTCATTCTTTCATTCATTCATACATTTATTCATTTATTCATTCATTTATTCATGTAAATTATCTCTTACCATTCTGTTTGAAAACAATCCAGAGTTTTCATTAACCCCATCTTGACGAGAAAGTTCCGGACAAAATCATCCACAACTTCCGGCTTCTGGACAATGGTCGGCCTTGTAACTGTTTCTCTTAGTACCTAGAACAAAGTTCCGTTGACCATTCAGAGAGTTGTTAGTGAGGAGAGGAAACCTCAGAGAGTTGATAGTGAGGAGAGGAAACCTCAGAGAGTTGATAGTGAGGAGAGGAAACCTCAGAGAGTTGATAGTGAGGAGAGGAAACCTCAGAGAGTTGATAGTGAGGAGAGGAAACCTCAGAGAGTTGATAGTGAGGAGAGGAAACCTCAGAGAGTTGATAGTGAGGAGAGGAAACCTCAGAGAGTTGATAGTGAGGAGAGGAAACCTCAGAGAGTTGATAGTGAGGAGAGGAAACCTCAGAGAGTTGATAGTGAGGAGAGGAAACATGTGATGAGGGAGACCTCAGATGGCTAAGTGAGTGAGTGAGTGATGAGTGAGGGAGTGAGTGATGAGTGAGTGATGAGTGAGTGAGTGAGGGAGTGAGTGATGAGTGAGTGATGAGTGAGGGAGTGAGTGAGTGAGTAAGTGAGTGACGGAGTGAGTGATGAGTGAGGGAGTGAGTGAGTGAGTGATGAGTGAGTGAGTGGGTGATGAGTGAGTGAGTGAGTGATGAGTGAGTGAGTGAGTGATGAGTGAGTGATGAGTGAGTGATGAGTGAGTGAGTGAGTGAGGGAGTGAGTGATGAGTGATGAGTGATGAGTGAGTGAGTGAGTGATGAGTGAGTGAGTGGGTGATGAGTGAGTGATGAGTGAGTGAGTGAGTGAGTGAGTGGGTGATGAGTGAGTGATGAGTGAGTGAGTGATGAGTGAGTGAGTGGGTGAGTGAGTGAGTGAGTGAGTGAGTGAGTTGGTGCATGGGTGAGTGAGTGAGTGAGTGAGTTGAGTAGTGAGTGAGTGATGAGTGAGTGAGTGAGTGATGAGTGAGTGAGTGGGTGATGAGTGAGTGAGTGAGTGATGAGTGAGTGAGTGATGAGTGAGTGGGTGAGTGAGTGAGTGAGTGAGTGGTGCGTGGGTGAGTGAGTGAGTGAGTGAGTGAGTGAGTAGTTAAGTGAGTGAGTAAGTGAGTGAGTAAGTGAGTGAGTGAATGAATGATTGAGTAGTTAAGTGAGTGAGTGAATGAGTGAGTGAGTGAATGAGTTGGTGGGTGGATGAGTGAGTGAGTGAGTGAGTGAGTGAGTAAGTGAGTGAGTGAGTGAGTGAGTTGGTGGGTGGGTGGGTGAGTGAGTGAGTGAGAGTGAGTGAGTGAGTGAGTGAGTGAGTGAGTGAGTGAGTGAGTGAGTGAGTGAGTGAGTGAGTGAGTGAGTGAGTGAGTGAGTGAGTGAGTGAGTGAGTGAGTGAGTGAGTGAGTGGGTGGGTGGGTGGGTGAGTGAGTGAGTGAGTGAGTGAGTGAGTGAGTGAGTGAGTGAGTGAGTGAGTGAGTGAGTGAGTGAGTGAGTGAGTGAGTGAGTGAGTGAGTGAGTGAGTGAGTGAGTGAGTGAGTGAGTGAGTGAGTGAGTGAGTGAGTGAGTTAACTGACAGATTATCCACATTGCATATCGTACAAGTCCATAAGCGCTCAGATCCCATCTTCAGTATATCCCCTAGCATCTGGCGACTGATAACACCAGTTTTGTGTTGGTTTACTATTCGTCTTTGGCTACCTGTGTACTGCTGATGTTTGGCAACGCCTCTTTTGATTTGAAGTTCTTGTCTTTTGAGTGTTGCCGATTCAAAATTGTCTCGAATCATTTTCTCTTCCTGCCACCTTGAGAGCATTAAGGATGTCAGCCTGGCCCATTGCTTTTCCTGTACCTACCGTGGCTCTGCCAGCAAGCCAATCCGCTCGTTCATTCCCTCTTACCCCAGAGTGTCCTGGCACAAAAATGAAACTAATTCCTTTCAGACAAGATTTCCTCAGCATTGATCCATTGTACCCAGAACAAAGTTCCATTGATCACAGGGTGGAGAGGGGACATGTGATGAGGAAGACCTCAAATGTTAATCCATTGATCATTGCTAAGAAGCTTAATGAGTGGTGGTAGTGGGCAGTGAACAATGTAGACATTAAAGAACAATTTGTCGTGTGTGTGTGTGTAGGTTTTTCTCTCCTTCCCTATCCAAGCTCCTCTTTGTTAAACTACTTAATAATTTCTTGGTATTAACTTTGCTGTTATTGCACTTAAAGGACTGTTTAGCGAATAGGAATTCAACAGCCCATGGGAGTTTTTGTATAGCACATCGTGACGGATGAGTGAACACTCGAGGATTCACGGAGATTTGACTGATGTGAGGGTGAATGGTGGACCTGGCATAAGGAACAGAGAAAGTGTTTTTAAGGAGTTGGCTGAGAGACTTGGACAAGACTTGTGGTGTTTTGACCGTTAGATGTTTGCTTAATTGATTTGTTAGCAACAGTTAGTTTGTGACAGCGTGCTAGATTGACGGTATTATAAATTGATGGTATTATAATTTAAGTACTAGTCCGTCATTCACTATCATCACCTACAGTTGTCCCATAGCCACAACACTATCATCACCTACAGTCGTCCCATAGCCACAACACTATCATCACCTACAGTTGTCCCATAGCCACACTAGCTCTTGACACCCACCATCACTGAGGGAGTTGATTCCAGTGCCTCTCTATAGCACTGTTTACAGAGTTAGCCAAAACAATTTATACATAGTAAAAGTCCACCAGAGAAATGCACAAACATTTTCATAGAGGCTGCTTGTATTTAAAAAATGTCATCATTGCATGACATATTCCGCCATATTTAGATCCAATTACGGTAGCTATGTTTTTCAGCAACATCATAGGCCACTTTGGGTAACTTAACTCGAGCAGCAGTTTGCCGCATTTAAAAGTGTCTGGATGCATATGGGAATGAATTTCAGTAGCTGTAGTAACAGCATAAATCCCACATAACTTATACGCACCTCTTTGTGTCTGAACAAATATATTATCAACATGTTTATATGGGTTGCTATTTTAAAAACTCCAGGCAACATATTGCTAACGTAATGTATTAGAAGACAGTAAATACTGAACATGTAGATGCATTTCGGTCGGCGTCTGTGGCTTAGACGTTGCGAACGCGCTTCGTAATGCCAGGTTCGATCCCTGCTGCGGACAGTTTGTCTTGCGCTGGTTTCGCCAGTGGTACCGAGAGCCAACGGTCCAGAAAGCAATGGCAAACTACTGTATGTAAATTTGCCTAGAAAAACAACAACAGCCAGAAAGTGCTGGGGTTGGTTCTGCAATCTCCTGTAAAGGCTCCGCAACTAACTAACTAGATGCATTTTACTGCTGGGTGGTTACTGTGATAATAATATTTTTTGCTTACTCTGTATAGATAACAATACTGTTTGGAAAGATGAAAAAGTGCCAAACATTTGTATTTTTGAAATACCAGGTACTTCTTTTATTTATGTAGATTAAGTCGTCCCCTTGTATGCAATTTTTTTGTTTTTGAAGCCTCACCCTGGCTTCTGCTTAAGGCCCTAAATATAGCTGGGCCACAAATGTGGCCATAAGGTTTCTAGGACTTCTCCATGGGTGATCCTATCCGCATGGTAACACTTTGTGTCACCGGGTGTTTATTGCTTGTGTGATGTTCTTGTGGGGTACAACATGCAAGCAAGCGAGTACTTCTTTCTTCTTCTTTGTAGATAAATCACAACTTGATTGCACTGGGTATTTTTTTTCCAATCATCTGTAAACAAATCACAATTCTGTGTACTTTTTAATCAATCAGATGCAGTCTCTATTTCTTTTTTTTTAATATCCAGAAACCATGAGTTCTAAACCCTTTGGCTCGGTGAACCCGGACCACAAGGAGTTGGTCACCCAGTTGTCGCGAAGTCAGGTTTAGCCTACTATGCTAGCAAGCCGGGCGTGCAGTCTCTATAATGGTTGCCTGCAATGGATCACCATGCTTTATCTCTTCTCTTCATTATACACTCTCTCAGACTGCTGTTTGTCCCTCTCTTGATGTTGTCCTCCCACTTGTATCATTGTCTACCTCATGCTCTCTTGTCATCGACCTTTCCCTCCAGTATGATTTTTAAAATCATATTGTCTTTCTATTGTCTCTTTTTTTTTATTTCTTTTGGTAATTCTCTTTTCTCCTTCAGTCTTTCCAGAACAGCTGTATTTTGCTGGTTTTGTTTGCATAAAATGTAACCTTTTCCTTTTGCATATCCCCATCTGCAGAGACTTAGTTTGTCTGCATATCCCCATCTCCAGAGACTTAGTTTGTCTGCATATCCCTATCTCCAGAGACTTAGTTTGTCTGCATATCCCCATCTGCAGAGACTTAGTTTGTCTGCATATCCCTATCTCCATAGACTTAGTTTGTCTGCATATCCCCATCTCCAGAGACTTAGTTTGTCTGCATATCCCCATCTGCAGAGACTTAGTTTGTCTGCATATCCCCATCTGCAGAGACTTAGTTTGTCTGCATATCCCCATCTGCAGAGACTTAGTTTGTCTGCATATCCCCATCTGCAGAGACTTAGTTTGTCTGCATATCCACATCTCCAGAGACTTAGTTTGTCTGCATATCCCCATCTCCAGAGACTTAGTTTGTCTGCATATCCACATCTCCAGAGACTTAGTTTGTCTGCATATCCACATCTCCAGAGACTTAGTTTGTCTGCATATCCACATCTCCAGAGACTTAGTTTGTCTGCATATCCACATCTCCAGAGACTTAGTTTGTCTGCATATCCACATCTCCAGAGACTTAGTTTGTCTGCATATCCACATCTCCAGAGACTTAGTTTGTCTGCATAACCCCATCTGCAGAGACTTAGTTTGTCTGCATATCCACATCTGCAGAGACTTAGTTTGTCTGCATAACCCCATCTGCAGAGACTTAATTTGTCTGCATAACCCCATCTCCAGAGACTTAGTTTGTCTGCATATCCACATCTCCAGAGACTTAGTTTGTCTGCATATCCACATCTGCAGAGACTTAGTTTGTCTGCATAACCCCATCTGCAGAGACTTAGTTTGTCTGCATAACCCCATCTGCAGAGTCTTAGTTTGTCTGCATATCCACATCTCCAGAGACTTAGTTTGTCTGCATATCCACATCTGCAGAGACTTAGTTTGTCTGCATATCCACATCTCCAGATACTTAGTTTGTCTGCATGTCCACATCTCCAGAGACTTAGTTTGTCTGCATATCCACATCTGCAGAGACTTAGTTTGTCTGCATATCCACATCTCCAGAGACTTAGTTTGTCTGCATATCCACATCTCCAGAGACTTAGTTTGTCTGCATAACCCCATCTGCAGAGACTTAGTTTGTCTGCATATCCACATCTGCAGAGACTTAGTTTGTCTGCATAACCCCATCTGCAGAGACTTAGTTTGTCTGCATAACCCCATCTCCAGAGACTTAGTTTGTCTGCATATCCACATCTCCAGAGACTTAGTTTGTCTGCATATCCACATCTCCAGAGACTTAGTTTGTCTGCATATCCACATCTCCAGAGACTTAGTTTGTCTGCATATCCACATCTCCAGAGACTTAGTTTGTCTGCATATCCACATCTCCAGAGACTTAGTTTGTCTGCATATCCACATCTCCAGAGACTTAGTTTGTCTGCATATCCACATCTCCAGAGACTTAGTTTGTCTGCATATCCACATCTCCAGAGACTTAGTTTGTCTGCATATCCACATCTCCAGAGACTTAGTTTGTCTGCATATCCACATCTCCAGAGACTTAGTTTGTCTGCATATCCACATCTCCAGAGACTTATTTTGATTTTCTAGCTGCCTATTCAGTGTCCATGTTTTGGCAGGGTTGAGAACACATAACGTTTGACAATTCTCAAATGTAATGTGTTGTTTTCCTCTCTAGCTGTCTTTAAGTTTGGCATCTTACTGAAGACATTTTTGCCCATTCCTATTCTCATTTTTGATTTCTGTTTTACTTCTGCCATCAGCTGTAATTTTGTGTAGGAGATAGGAGACACTTGTTACTTGTTCTAATATCTCTCCTATGGTCGCTCTTTTACACTGCTGATTTACTTGTGCATTTTTATTGTTTTTTTCTTGGTAAAACTACAAAACCAGGTCAACTGTGTACCCTTTTCATATTTTTTTTAAAAACTTTTTGCTCACAATCAAAACATCATTATTTACATCATTTACTTCACTCTCACTTTTTCTTCTACTCTTTCATTGTCAACTCATTCTCTCAAAATTTTTTTTATTATCTACTCACTCACTTCTACTTGTCATTGTTCCTCTTAGTCTCTCACTCTTTCTTCTACTTGTCATTGTTCCTCTTAGTCTCTCACCCTTTTCTTCTACTTGTCATTGTTCCTCTTAGTCTCTCACTCTTTCTTCTACTTGTCATTGTTCCTCTTAGTCTCTCACTCTTTCTTCTACTTGTCATTGTTCCTCTTAGTCTCTCACTCTTTCTTCTACTTGTCATTGTTCCTCTTAGTCTCTCACTCTTTCTTCTACTTGTCATTGTTCCTCTTAGTCTCTCACTCTTTCTTCTACTTGTCATTGTTCCTCATAGTCTCTCACTCTTTCTTTTACTTTTTCATTGTCGCCTCACTTCTCACTGTCAACACACTTTCTCACTCTTTCTTCTGCTTTTTTTTTCATTGTTCTTTTCACTCTTTCTCTTTTTTTCTTCAACTTTTTCTTGTCTACTCACTTACTCTTTCTTCTGCTTTTTCACTGTTCCCCTTCCTCTCTTACTCTTCTACTTTTTCATTGTCCATTCACTCTCTCTCTCTTTCTTCAACTTTTTCACTGTTTCCATGCCTCTATCACTCTTTCTTTGACTTTTTCACTATTCCACCTCCCTCTCTCACTCTTTCTTAGACTTTTCATTGTTCCCCTCTCTCTTTTTCTTCTACTTTGTTCCCCTCATCCTCTTACTTTTTTTTTCTACTTTTTTCTTGTCTACTCACTCTCTCACTCTTTCTTCTTCTTTTCATTGTTCCCCTCATTCTCTCGATTTTTTTCTATTTGTGCCTTGTCTACTCACTCTCTCTCTCTCTCTTTCTTATACTTGTTTCACAGTCCTTACTCTGGCTTCAGCTTCCTCATTTGCCTCACGTATTGTGCGAACTGCTGCGTCAAGATCCTCATCCAATTCTGTTTGATCAGGACAAATTAAAATAAATATTTCAACCAAAGCTTACAGACTAGGACAGCAGGATGAAATTTTCAAGTAAGAATATTAAAGATTAACATTTGTATTAATGGGCAACATAAGGAAGTCAAAAACAAATTAAACCGTGTTGAGTCAAAAAGTGATGAAAACACGTGTGACTGAAGTGTGGTGACTTGTGGCCAGGATACTCTGCCCCTTCTTGCTGTTGTAGTTTGTGCTGAAAAAGGCTCTGGCCAAAAAAGTAAAGTTGAGTTAATTTTAGTTAGGAATTGACATCACAGATCTCTGGACATTCCCATAACACTCTGTCTTCACTTTGAGCAGCCAGCGAAGAGTTTCATTTTTAGTGGTAGCAATCTTCTTCTTCTTCTTCTTCTTAATGTTCAATGGCTATAAACTCCAGAGAAACATTCTGGTTGTTCAGCCACTTCCGGACTTTAGTCTGGAACTTGAGTTTTGTGTGCACTCAGACAGATGCACTCAGACAGATGCACTCAGACAGATACACTCAGACAGATACACTCAGACAGATGCACGCAGACAGATACACTCAGACAGATGCACTCAGACAGATACACTCAGACAGATACACTCAGACAGATGCACTCACACTGCGAAAAAACTGGTAACAATTAAAACTTAGTACCAAACAACAAAAGATTTATCTCTAATATTAAATCACTACTGCTGTATAAAGAAAATATAATGAGAAATGTCAAAAATGACCAGACTTGTGACAGTTATGATCCGCTCAAAAATGGTGGCAACCCTATTCCGGAACTCTGCTACGCAGATGAGACAGTCCTCCTTTCGAACAGCGTAAAAGAAATAGAAAATTTAATATTGTCCGTCCAAAAGCACAGTGAAGATCAAAATCTGTTCTTGAATTTAAAGAAAACAAAAATAATGTCCACAGATAAAACTGGCTGTCACCCAAAAAAAATATAAATGATGAAGAAATTGAAAATGTCACAAACTGAATATCTGGGCTCTATAATAAACAACAATGGAGACTGTTTGACAGAAATTAAAAGGAGGATGGCTATAGCAATGCAAAGATTGAACAGCCTTAAAAGTCTATGGTTAAGCACCAGCAAGGAGATAAAAATTAGAATTTTGAGAGCATGCATCTTCCCTGTGGCTACATACGGATGTGAGTCGTGGACTATCTCTCAGTCCTTAAGAAAGAGAATAGGGGCTTTTGAGCTGAAATGCTATAGAAAGATTCTCAGAATATCTTGGACAAAGAAGATGAGAAATATTGACATCTTAAAAGATCTGAAAATCAAGGAAGATTGGCTAATAAACAGCATCCTTTCTCGAAAGCTGAAATATTTTGGTCATATCAAGCGCCACGACGGATTGGAAAAAAATTATAGCAGAAGGCATGGTACCAGGAAGGAGGGGCAGAGGCCGACTGACACGAAGATGGGCACCTGCTACATGATGATGACTGCTGTATAAAGCAAGCCAGAGCATCTGCTCTCTTATTGCCTTTCACACCAGCGTTTACTGGGACAAAAATGAATATGATTTTTGTGAAACGCTGCATGCTAAATCAGATGGAGTCACTGTTTCTGGATGTACCCCACCTTGATCTTCTGTAGCATGTTCAATGAGTCGCTGAGTGTTTAGCCATTCTGGGGCCTACATTCCATTGTGGAGGTGGTGCCTTTTTAAAAAAAAACTGTAAGAACAGAACCTACCTGGCGAAACAATTTCCTCGTCTACCAGAACTTCCTCATACTGGAACTCATCATCTGAATCAACAGGCACCTCAACTTCTGGTCAGTCGGTTAAGAAAACACAAAAGATGGTGATCTGTTTTAACTGGAGAGGATCAACTTTATTCATCTGTATTTTATATCTCTTCTTCTTCTTCTTTGGGTTCACCAGCTGTAAACTCTGGCAGAAAGTTATGGCTGTTCATCCCCTTATGGACTTTGGTCTTGTTCCAGAACCTAAGTTTTGTGTGCATGTCCATCTGATAGATGTTACATATTTGTAACAAACAAAATGCGGCCCAAGAGCCCACATTAAAGTATTTTGTATTATTTATCTTAGTTTCTCTAATGATGAAAGGTAGTAAGAATTTTGACTTCTTACTGTCTGCTATCACTCTTTCCAGTATTTATATATTTTCCAGTTTTTCTTCATATACAAAAACAAGGTAACCTCAAACTGAAAAATGATTACCACAGACTTACCTACCACCTCGACATATCTAAATAACTATAAACTTCGGCAGAAAATTATGGTCTACTTCTGGACTTTATTCGTGTTGCAGAAGTTGAGTTTTGCGTGCACGTCCGTTTCATACATGTGGGTTTTTAATGTTTAGATTTTTGGTTTCTTGTCTCTCAGGCCCACTCCTACTTCGAGGGAAACCTTGATCCCATCACAGCGCTGGCCCGGCCTCCAGGTGGGAACCTGTTTGATTGTATATCCGTCTCGACTTTCCCTAGGTAGAATGGTAGATACAAGATACTAGATTAGATTAGGTCCAGTGGCAGACCAGTGTGGACCGTGGTCTTGGTGGACCCCTATGTATGGTACGAAGCCTCTGCATTCCAAATGAGCAACTAAAACCATTTTATGTAGTACTATGTAAACATTTCATCGATTAGCGTTTTGTTTTTATATATTATATTGTGGAAGGATACTTTCAACATAAAATCTATCGTTGTCGAGGTTAACCGCCATCTTGTTATTTTGGCTGCTATGGTGATAAATACCATCTAGATTACTGACGCCTCGATACTAATAATCGATACAGGATCATAATTCCATCTCTTTCTTTTCCTCTCTTGCTGTGTCCACATTTAATTCCATGTTGTTTATCTAATATTGTTTCTATAATCTTTCATCACCATAATAAATCAGCATGTACTTTACAGAAGCGTCTCCGTTTACGGCATGTCTGAAAGTCTCTTTTTCTCTAGCAAACTCTATAGCCCAATGTGCTTTGATAGAATCTTCAATGTCTTATATCAACCTTCGCAGAGGTCTGACTGTCTTGTTTTCCTGAAACTGTAATCTCGTTCTCACTATTTTTCTCAGGCCACTAGGTCACGGGTGAAGAACAGTGTCTAGGTTGTTTTTCCTTGTTTGCCGGTGTGTAGGGAAATTAACAGTCGGGCAGATTGGCTGGCTCTGAACAATTTGGAGAAAAATTGATGCATGATAAAGCTGACGTGGTTACGGCCTTATGGAAGAACGTGTACAATTCTAAAGAACAAGCTGATCATCACAGTTTTGTGAGAGACAAGCAGCGGGAAGTGACGAGGGAATATGGTCACTACTCGACGCACTAAGGATAGTCAAGAACGGACATATAATCAGAAAGCTACTGGCACCATTGGTATTGGAACTCTGTGCTGGCTGCTGAAGATGGGGACGGAGCGCTTATGGGAATGCCCAAGTGTTATGATGTCAGTTCTTGAATCAAATAAACTCCGGACGCTCTAACAGCTTTCGGGACAGGATGCTGTTCATGAGCCAGTTCTCCTCGATGTTCAGATTGTTGTTGTTGTTATCAATCCAGCGGCGCATGAGCTTTCGCCCTTTGGCCCAATGCCATGTAGTGGAATTTGCATGTTTTCACAAGCTGTTCTTTTCCTCCGTACAAGGTGTTCCACTTGTCTGGTCTCGGAGGGAGTAGCGTTCTTCTTGTCTCACTGAGTTTTGGGCACTCAAAGAGATGGTGTTCAACAGTTTCGTAGGGGTAGTTACATAGCTGGCACTCTGGGGAGTGTTGTGGCTGTATTCTGTTTAGGTGTCCATTGAGTGGAGTATGTTGCGTTCTAAGTCTGAAGATGGTTAATGCTGTCATTAGGATCAGGGCCAGACATATGTCTGTAAACCTCTCTTCCAGTGTCTCCCATGGCCCATCTGTTCAACCAAGTCTCTTTGTTTATAGCTCTTATCAGTGTTTTTGCTGTCTGGAGGGTTGTCGCTGTAGGTGGTTGTTCTTGTGTTGCTCCTTTCTTTGCCAATCTGTCAGCTCTGTCATTACCTGGTGTGCCGGAGTGACCTGGAATCCACTGCATCACTATTCTGATGTTGTATGAGGTAATAAGCTGATCGGCATCCAGGATTATCTTGGCTATGTCAGTTCTGCAGCGTTCATTGCCCTCCAGAGCTTGAAGGGCAGACATTGAATCTGTGAAGATGACAATATTTTGGACCTTTGAGGGGTAAAAACATCCATTACAGTCTTTAGGTGGTATACGGCTGTTTCCAGTGCAATTATTTCAGCTTCATAGTTTGAACAGAATTCCCCGCATGCATCAAAAATCTCTTCAACAGATCCATCGGGATAACCTATGTAGATTCCGTAACCTGCTTTAATGGTAGCTTTAAATGCTGATCCATCAGTATAGACATGTATCCATTCTTGGGGGTAAGAATCAACGGTCTTTAGTGATGAGTTCATAAGAGCGATTGGGTCGGACTGTTTGGTTTCCTCGCCTACCAATTTAGTTTGGACTTCTGGAGCTTTAAAGCGAGCATGTGGTGGTAGGTTTTTTGCAACATTCTGAATTCCTTGACGTCTTTCTGGGAGGTGGTATCTGTCCTGAATTTCATTAACACAGTGTAACCGATTTGTGCTTTATTCTTTGTTTGGATTCCCAGTTTTTCTACAAGATGTCTATTAGGATGGTTACGATTTTTCCTAACGCATCTTTCATAAATTTCTAAAGTGGCTTTTTCTCTCCGCAAACCCGAGGGGTTCCACATTTGTATGGATTTCACATGCAGCAGTTGGTGTAGACTGCATAGCTCCGCAGATTAATCGGAGGGCATTATTTTGTACTCTGTCAAGAGTCTCTAGGTTAGTTTTGGAACAAGTTGTAAGCAGTGAGTTGTTGTACTCTATCACAGAGCGAACATATCCTAGGTATAAGCCCCTCAGAGTTTCCTTGTCTGATCCCCATGATGTACCTGCAAGTCTCTTTAATAACTGTAACCGCCTCAATGCCTTATTTCCTGATGTTTTCAATATGGTTCTTGAGGCTGAGCTGCGGGTCAAGTGTGACTCCCAAGGTATGTGGGATGCTCTTTTTCATCACTTGGTGTTTGTCTAACCTCAGGTTAATATTCTTCCTTGCTACTTGGTGGCTTTTGGTAAAGATTGTGTGTAGACCGTCTTTGCACAGTTAATCTTGAGTTTCCATCTTTGGCAGTAATCATGCAGTCTTCTAAGGTCTCCATTCAGTCTTTGGGCTCCACTTTCCACATTTTCATGACTCTGCCATATTGCTAGGTCATCAGCGTACAAGGCTTTTTCAGCCTTGATTTGTTCTGGCAGGTCATTGATAAAGATTAGGAATAGTGTACAGCTCAATGATGAGCCTTGTGGCAAGCCCTCCTCCAAGACTTCTTTAGAAGAGATTGCGTTGTGCATCTTAGTCTGGATTGTTCTATCTATCAGGAAGTATTTCACCCAGTTATACAATCTGCCATGTATTCCTATGCTCATCATCTTCATCAGGAGACCTTTTCTCCATACTCTGTCATAGGCCTGCTGAAGGTCGACAAAGACTGCCACTGTGTGTTTCTTATTCTGGAAGCCATCATGTATTCTTTGTGTCAGTCTGAACAGCTGGTCTTCTGTGCAGCTGTTGATGTTCAGATAATATAGGATGTCGATTGTTTCTTCATCCACAGTAAGTAAAAGTAAAGATCCATTCTCAAGCCTTTGGGTGCATCGGCAATATGGGAAGAGCACTTATATTTTCACAGACCAATCAGTACTAGGTAGGTCATATGGTCAGCATTATGCCGGCCGTCTTTACTTCCCCATGACATACATCCTGGTCCGGTGTAAACAGCCACAATGGCGGCACGCTTTTTCGTCCGTTGAGGCGAATGGCGCAAATTAACTATTTTCGCTCACGTATAATGTGAAAGTTTCATCGGAATGGGGTCTGAACCGTGCAATGGAGTACATGCACGTGAGTTCAGACTTCCCTCAGGGTGTATTCAACGTCCGATGGCGACTATTTACCAATTCAGAACAACCCGTAGACGGACAAGGAGAACACGAACAAGCAAGCATGGCGGCGCCTGCAGGAAGCGACTGAAATGTGAGAGACTCAGCTTAAAGTATGTTCGCGTTCTCTACTGGAACTGCGCCTCGTTCAGTCAACGCCGACCCATTTTCGAGAAGCTCCTCTACAGCAACGACATTGTTGTCCTACAGGAAACACACCTCGGTGACGAGATGGTTAAAATTGCGGGCTTCCAATCCTTCTACAATAGACGGCACCTCGGACAGCTCATTCTTGTTCGTGACCACATACTGGTGTCTGAGGTGGACATGTCTGAGTGGGATAATGACGACCTACAAGTACACGCAGTCAGAGTGATGGGCCCGGCCCAGTTTGTGATTGTCAATGTGTACGCCTGCAATGGAAAGGTGGATACAGCGAAATGGCAGAGTTTGCTCCAGACTGAGGAAAAGAAAGTCCTTTACTGTGGAGATTTCAACGCCAGAGGAAACCAGTGGGGCAATGTAATCACCAATAAACAGGGGGAAGACCTGGAGGATGCTCTAGTGTCTGCCGATCTAGTATGCTTGAACGACGGAAAGGTTACCCGAATAGCAACCCGACAAGGGGATTCTGACAGCGTAATTGACCTGGCCCTAGTGTCTCCCTCCATTGCACCAGGATGCAGGTGGAGCACACTGGGATACCATGACAGTGATCACTTTCCGTGCGTCGTCCTGGTGGAGAAGAGCAACAACAAAGGTCATGTAATCAATGTGCCTGCTTTTATATATGACCGTACAGGGCAAGATGCCATTAGCAAAATCAGACGACGTAATACAAGAGCAGATCGCAGACGGCGGGAGAGATGGGCCCAGCCACCATGGTGGAATGAAGTAGTCAACATAGCGTGGCTAGAAAAAAGGAACGCTGTCAAGGCATGGCAAAAGGCAAGGAAAATTGATCCGTCACTTTCTGAACGCCTGATCAGTCTGAAAGATGAGGTCAACAAGCGGACAGTGGCTTTCAAGTTAATTGCGAAAGAAGCCAAGACAGCGAAATGGAACGAATTCTGCAAGAGCGTTTGCTCCGAGGGATCTCTTGTGACATTCTGGCGCCTTCAACGGAGCATGCACGGCGCCGCACGACCAAGGGGTATCCCTGATTTTCAGGGTACAGACCTGATATGGCAGAGAACTGATGCTGATAAAGGAAAAACCCTCCTTGCGCGCTACTTGGAGCAAACTGACCAAAAAGACGAAGCTGCAAGAATAGGGGTTAAGATGAAACTGTCGATGCTGTGCGAGAACACTGAGCTAGGCACTGATTTCACAATCACTGCAGACACCTTAAGAACTTGCCTCAAGAAATCGCGCAGCACTGCTCCAGGTCCTGACGGCATCCGATACAATGACATGCTGATGATGTCGAATGCTGATTTGAAAAGCGTGGCAAAGGAATTCAATATCAGCATCCAGAGTGGCCAGATACAAGAGGAATGGCTCCATAGTTATTTGTTTCCACTACCAAAGCCTAATAAAGACCACTCAAAGATCTGCGGCTACAGGATCATCTCGATGCAGAATACTGTTGGCAAACTTTTGGAAAAATTGTCGCACAAAGATTGACCACCTACTTGGAACTACATGATAAGTTCCCACCAACACTTGGAGGGTACAGATTGAAGAAAGAGACATGGTCCAATGCTGC